TATGCACATACAAGAGAAAAGATAAAGATAGAGGTAAAGGTATAAACAGATAAGAGAGAGAGAGAGAGAGAGAGAGAGAGAGAGAGAGAGAGAGAGAGAGAGAGAGAGAGTGAGTGTTGGATGGCCCAGTAAATAGTGAACCTCAAGTCCAGAAGACCTGAGGACACATTTGAACTCGGACTCCAGGCCCACTGCTGTTTGCCTCAATTTCCTCATTTGTAAAATGGGGATAAGAGTACCTATCTCACAGAGTTGTTGAGGGGAATCAAATGAGATAATAATTGTAAAGCCTTAATACAGTGCCTGGAATGTAATAAGCATTTTATAAATGCCAGTTATTACTATTACTATTAGAGAAAGAGGTAGAGATACATGAGATAGAGAAAACTGATAGAGATATAGGTCAGTTGGTCTATAGATGACTATACAAACATATATACATACATATATATACACACACACACACACACACACACACACACACACACACACACACACACGTGTGTGTGTGCGTGTATGTCTGTTAATAAAATCATATTGATAAAATGAGGTTGGCCTTGATGTCCTTGTGGGAAGTAATCCCAGAGGGTCAATCAGTCAACAGAAATTTACTAAGTACCTGCTACATACCAATAAGTGTGCCAAACATGAAGGATCCCATGAAAGATCCTTGAAGGAATCCAATCCAACCTCACTTTGCAAATGTGGGAATTGAGGCCTTAGAGAGTTTGAGTGACTTGAACAGAGTCATCAGCTAGTAAATCATTGCATCCAGTCCAACACTCCTACCTGACCAAAAACACCTTCTATAACACCCTTGGAGATAATCTCATCACCCCCTGAATCCCTCCAGTGATTAAGAATTTACTATCTACCAGGGTAGTTCCGAGTGTTGGGAAATTTTTCTTCAATTAAACCAAAATCTGCCTTTCTATTAATTCTACAATCATGTACTCAGTATGCACTTATGAAGTACTTACTGCATGCAAAGTACAGGGAGTTTGTGTAACTAAGGTAGATACAAAGACAGAAGACACAGGTGTTTTCTACCCTCCCTACCCCTCCATCCCTGAGCTTCCAATGAGGGGAATTCTATATCAGGTCTCAAACACAAAAGGTCAACAGTTTTCCTCCTAAATCATGGCCGATGAATCGCCTGCTCAAATAGCTGAAATTGCTGTTACACTTCATTTAAAAAGGGGGAAAAAGAAGTATTTATTCATCTGGGCAAGAAACCTGCTAGGAGGTTGCAGCATTACAATGCAGTTTGTATAACCTCATTTAGCTGATAAGAACTCGAACATAACCTTTGGTCCTTCACTCCTATAAGGCAAGCATCCATCCTCGCCTCCTCCTCCCCCCCTCCTCTAAAAGAGGGCTGAAAATTAAGGGAGAGTCAGCAGTTTGAAAGTCTACAACATCAAGGGGCAAAGGTTTAACCTGTTTTCTAATATTTGTTTTTCTCACTATTGTTTCATGAATCTTTACTGAATAAAGAACTGGATACATTAGAGAATACAAAATACCACTGTATGTAAGTATCAAGAGAAGGCCTCTATTCCATTGGGTTAGGCCCATGTGGAAGATTTATGGGAGGCCATAGACGAGATGAGGACAGAAAGAAATGCAGAGCAAGTATTGCAAACTCTGGGGGGGGGTACCCACATTAATGAGATCATTGCTACATCCCAAAGTATTTAATGTGTATACAATACATTATAGAAATGAAGGGGTCCCACATTTCACCAAATAGAAAATTAGTGCCATTATTACTCCTGTGCCTTTGAAAAGATGGTTCTTCCCTGTATTGGCCATGACCTTCCTCTCAGCTCAGCCTCTTGGAATTCCTCACTGCTTTCCAAATCCAACTCAAATGCCAGTCAGCAAACCAATAAACATTTATTAATTATTTACTGTGTGCTAGCTCCTGTGCATCCCCAGCACTAGTCCTTTATACTAGTTGTTAGCTCTCTCCTCCTAAATAATTTTTATTTACTCATCTTGGTATATGCTGTATAGAGAGATTAAGAAACTTTAGCAAGGGTCTCGCAGCTAGTATATGTCAGAGGTGAGAGCTGAGCCCAGGTCTTCCTAATTTCAATAACTGACTCCACTACATCACTATTTCTGACTTCCTTTCCCACACTTACTTCTATCCCTTCTTTCCTTGTTTTGGCAATATTAGGGATAAAAGGATGATCAGGAAAGAGTTGGGACTATTCAGACATTGGAGCAGAGACAAAAGGATTCAATTCCTTGAGCACACTCAGTCAAACCACTGCTTTTCTTCTCCTTTTCATCATTAAATTCCTTGGAGGTGATCTACAATTGATGCCTTCATCTCCTTTCCTCCCATTCTCTTCTTAAATCCCTGCAGTCTGGTTTCTGACCCTATCTTCCAACTGAAACTGCTCTTTCCAAAGTTATTGATGCTTTCTTAATTGACAGATTGAATGGCCTTTTCTCAGTCCTCATTCTCCTTGACCTCTCTTCAGCTTCTGACATGGTCACTCACCCTTTTCTTGATATTCTCTTTCTGGTGGATTTTCATGACACTGTCCTTTCCTAGCTCCCTTCTTACCTCAATGACCACTTTGTCTCAGTCTCTTTTTCCAGCTCTTCATTCACATCATTTCTCACCTGGTTGCACTACTCTAGGACTTCTCTAAAATGTCCCAGGTTCTTCATTATTGGGAAAACCTCATCATTCTGCAAGATCCCATCTGCCTTGGTACTCTAGCTTACCATCACCTGCAGTTCCTCTGTTTGAAGGTTGGAGATGTGAACTCAAATGTGCCCTTTGAAGATGGAGCTCATCTCAGGGGTCTCATTTCCCAAATGTGGGACTTTTCTGATTTCTCCACTTCATCTCCACTCCATCATCACATCTGAGAATTTTGAGTACCTTCTCCCTCTTTATTTTTCACATTTTTATCACCAGAGCTTAGAACAGTGCCTATACATGGTAGGTCTCCATCATGGGCCCTTTTCTTTTACATTGTGTTTGGAACATAGGTGTCCTCTCAGACACTACCTAGCTATGTGACACTGGGCAAGTCACTTAACTTCTTTGCCTCAATTTGCTCACCTATAAAAATGAGTTAGAGAAGGAAATGGCAAACTACTCTAGTATCTTTGCCAAGAAAGCCCTAAATGTGATCATGAAAAGTCAGATACAAGTGAAAAATGACTGAACGACAAGGTGCTTAATAAATGCTTACTGACTGACAGATTGAATACTCTTTTAAGTGAATTTCTGAATGCTCTTCATTCAGAATTCCTCTTATCTTTCTTCAGAACTTTCCTTCTAGGCCTATAGGGTAACAATCAATCATCATGATGGACATAAATCAGAGTAATGAGATGGAGACGGTGTATCAGTCTTGTGTTTCTACAATAGAATCCTCTTAACCTTGAGCCCAGGATCACTTTAATCATTTCCAACATTAAACTTTACCCAACTTTGGCTGAACATAACTCTCCACAATTCAATTCAAATGAACAACACCTTATTGATCAATTCCGAGTTAGTTTATATACTGAACACTAAAAGGGGCATTTCATCCCCCCTTCCTGAAAGGAGCTTACGATTGAAAGTTTACAGTCTCATAAACAAGTACACCAATAGCTTTGCACATTTCTCAGAAAAATTTTCACATGCCTCAGCTTTGCGTTTTATATCACCCACTCAAATCTATTTTAACCATTAGAAATGCAATTGTTAATTTTTGTAAAGCTTAAATAATGAATAGGATTTGATCACCTGAAGGTATTCGTCTTATTTTATTACAATAGTTACCAGCAATTTTGATTAGATGAGAAACTCTGTCCTTTTATTGTATCCCACCTTACTGTCATACATCACAGTAATAAGTATTATCACTTTTAAAATTTATATTAATAAAAAAAAAGAAAAGAAAAGTGGGGGAGCTGCTTGCAGATGTCATAATCAGCTAAAACTAAGAGCAACTCAAAAATCATTAGCAGTTACTTTTTAATTTTCTTAAAAACCATAATGCCATATCCTGGTTAAAATTGCATGAGTACTAATTCTGCACTCATTAATTAGCAATGAGAGACTGGACAAGGCCATTTCTCTGATCTGCTTGAGTCACCGGCTGTCCTGCCTTTAAAATAAAGACGAAGCAAAAAAAAAAATCTTACTTTTCTTCCCTCTTCATCAATCAATAAGTGAACTCTGAAATCACAACCCTTCCTGCTTGTACCCACAAACTTCTAAAGTCTTTGTAAACTATGCGGCCTGAGGAAAGTGAAACTACCTAGAAGTCAGACTCGGAGCGGCACTAGCGTCCGCTGCTGTCTCCTTTTATGCAGGCTTTTCTCAGCACTTCCTGGATCCCCCAGTCAAGGGAAGTTTAGTGGCAGTAGCAGGAGCTCAGGACTAAAGCCCCAAGGAGTCGGGACAGGAATCCCATCCCTTTCCCCGTTTTAACCAGAGCATCTTTCCTTAAGATCAAAGATTCAGAGCTTCAGGGTAGTCCTATGCCAGTAGAGTCGAACCCCGTCATTTTACAGGGAAGAAAGTGACTCCAGGACTTGCCCCCAGTTCCAGGGCAAGTGAGTGACAAAACCAGGGTGCGAACTAGGTCCGGAGATGAGCAGTTCTGGCCCCGGTGTCTCCAGGATCAGTTTTAAGAACACGTGTCTGCTAAGTGGAAAGCTCGCCGCGGGTGCCCGCCCGCCCCGGTGGCAGCAGGTCCCTTCCGGGCCAGCCCAAGTGCGGGTCTGAGCTGGAGCGCCCAGCAGTGGGGATGGGGCGCAGGGGGTGGGGACTGGAAGGGGTGCTGGGTACCCAGGTATCCTGAGCCCCGGGCACCCCCACGGCGGCCGGCAGAGGGAAAGAAGAGGTGCCACGGGGCGGGAGCTTAGGGTCAGAGGACAAGGGGAGGGGGGGCCGGGGCAACCCCACAGCCGGAGGCTGGAGAATCGGGGGAGCTGCGAGGCCCCGGCCGACCCGGCTCGGCCCGATCTCCACTCACCTGGGACTGGCCCAAGGGGAGGCATGGTCGGAGAGCCCACGCTGCCCGCAGAAGTTTCCCGGCCTGAGCTGCCATGGGGGACGCCATCTTAGACAGGAAAGTAGGCGGAGGGCCACTGGACTAGGGCTGGTCCCCTGGGGCAGGAGGAGGAGGAGGAGGAGGAGGGGAAAGTGGGAGGAGAGGAGGGGAGAGGAAAGAGGGAGGAGGATGCAAAAGGAGGGGAAGGAAGAGGAAAAGGGAGGAAAGGAGGAGGAAAAAGGCAGAAGAGAAGGAGGAAAAAAGGGGAGGAGGAAGGAAAGAGGAAAGAGAAGGGGAAAGAGGGAGAAGGGAAAGGAGAAAAAGGAGGAGGGAATGGGGGAAGGGAGAGGAGGTAGGAAAGGAAAAGAAGAAGGGAAAGTCCATCATGTAGAATCACTAGCATTCTTCAAGACACAGCTCAGCCACCACAATACGTGGCCTCACTTGATCTCCACTAGTATTAGTACTCTGTCTCTCTTGAAATTACTTTATATTACTTTGTATTTTTCCCCCCTTGGCTCCTGTTGTATCCCTCCAGGAGAAGAGAAATTATTTGATGTTCAGGAGGATTTCCTTTTTGTCTTTGAATTCCCAGGACCTAGCACACAGCTTTTGCCTACAAATGCCCTGTTTGATTCCAAAGAATGAATGAGCATTCAGAATGCTCTTAGCTTAGTATCCCATACCAGACTGCTATATCATCCCTACCTCAAGATTCTAGGGAACCAGAGGGGCTTGGTTCTCTTTTCTGTAGTCTTATCGGCTCAAGACACCATTTCGTGTATTAAACTACGTTGTAAACCACCAGCGAAGCGTACTTCAGTTCTATTTTACTAAGTAATATCAATTAGCTTTTAAAATGGAGTATTTACTTTAAAACCATAGCAAGAACAGATGTGCAAATATTTCCAATCTTCCCCAATACTTTTAGGGCATATTCTCTATACCTCGATCTCTGGGGAAAAGAGGCTCAGATTTTGCATAGTTTCTACATATCATTGACCGCACCAAGTTTATATCCAAATTCAGCATAACCACCTGTGGATGAAGCCTAATCTCAGCTACCTGCTGTGCTGAGTCCCTAAGGTCCCTGCTCCTGAGGTCATTGATTCTGGGCTGACCACAAAACCTGGTAGGAAATTGACTCCTGCACACCTACATCTTCAGATGCTTGGAGTGTTCGCTCTCCTGCCCTTTCAAAACCACAAGGTCAGAGCCTCTAGATTAACCTTCTACATCTAAAACAAAAGTATAAACGGTGAGGCAAAGGAGAGGTCCCTTTGCTGAGGGTCACACGTCAGGTTCAGATAGGTGGAGTGCCCAAGGTATTTCCCCTTTCATAATCATCTCTCACTGAAATATCAGGCTAAAAGAAGAGGCCCAAACAATATAGAGAAACAGTGATTGAGCCATTTTGAAATGTCTATTTCAATTCATTTCTAATTCCAGTTCTGTGGCTACAGGCAATCATAGAGGCTACCATTTGCCATATGGTTAGCGGCCTGGACACTTTTACATGTCTACACATTCTCCAAAGTCACTTCAAAGCACTTCCATTAGACATCATCACAACTCTACTGGAAGCAGGCTCCCAGTCTCTCCCCTGTGGGGAGTCACAACAATCAGGCACATTGATGCACTCTATCTGAGATCTTAGGGACTGGGCTTATTCACTGATCCCCCATGTATTGTCCTCCCTATTTCAAAGACCTTCCCTTTCACCGCATGATTAGCCAGCCAGAACCAGTTATAGAATGTCTGTATATGCTCTGAGGTTCTTCCTTTAGTCATCATCACAACTTCCCCAGAAGCAGGGTCTACAGTCTCTTGCATATGGAGGACTTCCTGACTAACTCTCTGATCTTACTTAGAGGGACTGAACTTAATGAATGAACAAGGATTTATTAAGCACTTATTATACGCCAAGCACTGTGTTAAGCACTGAAGACACAAAGAAAAAGAGTACCTGTCCTCTGGGATTATACATTCACATAGAGGGAGACAGCATATATAGGGAGTAGTGGCTAGATAATATATTTTGGTCTAGAAGTCATGAGTTCTTCAGTGAAGCAGTAGGGTAGTTGACTGACAAGTTCTTTTCAAAATTAATGGAAATGTTGGTTTGATTATTGTTCCCAGAGCAAAATGTAAAGGGTGGAGGTGGGGCGTATCTTGACAGGAAGATGACTGGTGCAAAGCATGGAGGGCTGCCACCACCTTAGATATAATGGATTCTCAGGGATTAAGAAAGCATGTCCATTGGACTCACCAAGACTTCTTGCATACTGTACCTATGCCCATTCTTGGTTTGAGACCACTCTTGCCAGTTAAGGCAACCAGCTTTCTCTCTGGCTATGGCTCTCCTCTGTCTGTAAGTTAGGTCATTTTTTTCCCCTTTTGGCTCCTCCCTGTTGCCAGGATTCTTTCAACTTTCTAGGCATTCCTTTCCTTTTGTTTTCCTTATGCTCAGGAGCATCTCAATTTTCTCTTTGTCCTCTTCCCTGTCAGAGTTCTGTAGTGTTTTACCTTTTCCCATGTTCGCCTTTTGGATCCAAGGTCCATCCTTTGCATGTTGGCATCCCTGGTCTCTGTTTCAAGAGGGTTTTAAAACATGGCAACATTTAATTTGTATATAATGCATGGCTCAAAGAGACCCATGTGGAGGTAGGTGAGTCAATATATAGCACCTGTTACACATAGCTCACAATCTGATAATTGTTTTGGGAATACAAGGGATTGTTCCATTCATTGTATTTGTATCCTCAGTGCCTGGCACACAGTAGGTGCTTAAGATATAATTGTGGACTAAGTGTTTTTATGGACAAGATTTTGACATACCTCCACCTATTGCTGATATAATCCATGAAGATTTTGCACATGACATATGTAGTTCCTCCCACCCCCATAATTTATATGGACTACATGTTGAAATTAATGCTAAGAAAATATACGGATGATTTTTAAATAGAGGGGAGGAACCAAAACGACTTAGTTTTACTAACTCAAATAACAGTAAATGAAATTCTTCATATGGGCTATCACACATAATAACAATGAATCAGAGCTTGATTATCTATGAGAAGAGAACAGAAGAGTAGATTTTCATGAGGATGGTTGAGATTAATGCTGATTATGTAAATATTGGGCTCATTGCTGGGCCTGAACAAGAGCAGAGGTTGCTAGGACAGAAGTACCCCTTTTTTGTATTGGGCAAAATCACGAAGCAAGCAATTTGCTCAGTGTTCGATCATAAGCTCGTGGATGCAGGGGATGTTTTGTTTTTGGCTTTGGATTCCCAATATCTCCTTCCTCTACAACCCATCTCTGATGTCTGATTCTTAGTGTAACGGGATTGCCCAGGGCTTGAGACTGGTGGAACAGTAGCTCCAGCATCTTCTACCATGCAGGAATGGCTTCCAATTCCTGCAGCTCAGTGTGTCTGCTTTTTGAGGACAAGTAAAGAAAGGCACATTGCCGGGATGCTGACCTTTTGATATTGAATTCTTGTCTGTGGAAACCCATGAAGCAAAGAAAAATTTTAAAAATAGTTTTCATCTTGTGTGGCCTCTTTCCTCTCCTGTGTTACCAGTGGTAAATGAAAGAAAAGGGAATATGAAGTACTAAAAAAAAATACAAGTTTTATACAGCTTACAAACCTGAACTTAGCTTTTAACACTCTAAATGTGATCCAATGATCAATTGGATTTAATCCTGGAGGATTTTTTCTCATATTAATCTTGATATTTTCATTATAACTAAAATCAGAAGAAAGAATGAGGTGGCAACTAATGGAAGGATGACTTATGTGTACTCATTGGAGAGAAAAAAAAAAAGAATGTTTCCAAATCACGCACTCAAGCAAAAAGAAACAGTATTTCATGGATACCTGGGCACCTTGGATTTTAGTGCTCATTATTGGTATTTACGAAAGGCCACTATGAAAATAATTGAAGCTTATCCACCAACATCTGATAGAGTCAGAGTCAGGGGGCATTTAGGGTTAGAGTTGCAGAGGATGGAGAGGTAGAATATTTTTCAAAGAATTTGATGATGAACTCTAAATTAAATCAACATCTACTTTGGTAATTAGTGATTTTGATAGAAAAGTTGCAATAGGTGAGGGAAATATGACATAGGAACAAGAGAGATAAAATTCTAGTAAACCACACCAAAACATCATTAGTACTTTCTATGAGAAAAGACTTGGCAGGTTCTATATCAATACCAATAATATCACAAAAAAATGAATCTGATTATCTTTTTCCAGAGAGGAAATGACTTCTTGTCATGTGAGAGTCATTCTTGAATCAGCTTTTTAGGAAAAGGATCAAAATCAGTACAAAGGTAGAAAAAAGAATAAAAATGAGAAAAATGTGACTTTTGATTGAAAACTTAATATTGACTTATTTAAACAATGGTAAAAAAAAAGTGAGATGAATGGAGAAAAGGATGTAGGTAGACTCCATAACTCCATAAAGAAATTTAACCATAGTAAATGATTTCTGATATAAAATAGACTAAAAAATCAAAAAACAGCTACTTCATTCAGCAACCACTTGAGTTTTGGCTTGAGCCCAGCAGAAAGACCTGCAAGACAAAAGCAATGCCAATTTGAAATAAAGCTCATTTGTAAAATCTTATGAAAAAGGGTAATGGAAGGTTGTGAACAACATTGCATGGAGAGGAGCAGTAGAGGGTAAACCAAGTATAAAGAAAGCAACAGAGCAAAACAATCAGGGATCATCTAAAGATGACAATAGAAGGACAAAAGGTAGAAGAAAAATGGAAAAGATCTGCAAAGATTTATATCACATACTTGCCTTACCATTGAGGAAATTAGAGTTTCCAGTCCAATGCCAAAGCCTTGGATGTGCTTTTTAAGGAGGTAGGAACTTCATTCAATGGGGAGAGCAGCTGGACTATACTGCATGAATGTACAAAAGAGATCTGAACAGGAGGCAACACAAGTGTGAGGGTCTTGAAGGCTTGATTCACAAGGTATCTGAAGAAAATGAATTTAAAAAAAAGTATGAGAAAAATCTCTGACCTTACTAATGCCCCCTCTCTTCCAAAAGCAACCAGGAAATCATCAATAATTACTGACCTATATGCCAAATTTGTCATAACAGTTC